TACAGATAGCCACTAGAAGACAATCTGCAATGTATATATGAGGGGGCCTTCAAGGCAAACCGGGACTTTTGAGTTTATATAATAAAAGAACAAATTTCAAGGAGTGGAAGCTGCATTAATTTTTGGACATACTCCCCTGCTAAATTAATACATGCTGAATGTTTACAGGAATTACTGCTGTGCACTGGGAACAACCAGGACCAGGATAGTCAATGACAGGCCGGCCGCTGATAAGGGGGTACCACCAGGCCTCCTGTAGGGGTCCTAGGTCTTGTTATAGAATAGGGGGGCCCGGACAGCAGCTTCATGCTTCATGTAGGATCATGTGTACAGTCAGTGCATATATACTGTTCCCCTATGTACGTGGCTCTTGGGTGGTGGTAACATTATTCTTGGGCTGGGAGGCCCCATCAGTTCATCCCGAGGGTCGGGAGACAAGGGGGACTTTTTTTTTTCTTTTTCGGGCACCTGCGGACGTACACTATCCTGTGCCAGTCCACATTTGAGATGAAGTCCCAGCTCTCTCAGTCCCTGCCTCTGGCCTGGGAGAGTGATTCAGCTTGCCTAAGTTGCACTGCAAATTGCCTGCCTCCTTCAGCAAATACATTGTGAGGGAATCAGGCAGAAGAAGAGCGCTGGCAGGCTTGGGGCAGCTGACTGGAACTAGAAGGGACCTGTGCAGGCAGCAGAGTCCCTCTATTCAGCTCAGCAGCCAGCCCAGCACTGCAAAGAGAGGGATCCCAGCAGTGGCAGAAGTCACAGGAAAGGTACAGTAATGACATGACAGCACATACACACCTTTCCCCATGCCCTGACCATTGCCTAAGCTATGTTCCATTATACAGCAGGGAACAGCCAAATGCGATCATCATTATCATGATGATAGTCACACAGTACAGGTGCTTTGAACCACAGTACCTGTACTATGATTATCATGATAATGATGATGATCATTGAGCCCTGGTTCACACCGACTTAACTGTTCCAAATCAAACGGCAAATCGCAATTTGTTTCCGATTTCATTGCGACTTGCATTGGCTGTTAAATGGAGTCTCAGTAAAATCGTAGGTACAAACCTCTCTGATCTGTGGCTTTGAAATCACGCTGAAGTAGCGCAATTTGAAAGCCACACTGGTGTGAGTCAGGACTGAAGGAAGGACAGTCAGATGCATCCTTAAGCCAGCCATAGGTGTTGATGGGGGGAATTGAGCAATTTTTGTGAAGTTTGCATCATTTATGGCCTGCCTACAACAGGCTGGGGAAAGATAACTGTCTCTTAAAGACAAAACTGCATTTTTTTTTTAGGTGGGTAGGCTGGTCAGGGTAGTGGAGTTTTGGGGGCCCTATTAGGTAGGCTGTATGGGACCCCATGATTTCTAACAGCAGCCCTGCTGACGGGCATACCGCCATCTTTGAAACATTTACAGAATTCAATTGTTTTTCTGAGCCTGAGCATCACCGTACTGTGCTTGAAGTCTTCTGTAGATATCCGCGGGTTTTATGCCTTCGTTCATCATCACCACATGCTTTTCCATGCACACACTAACACTGTTGTCTGCCATCTTGAATAACGGTCTCTGGACTGGCCTGCAACATGTACATGGCCTATCATGAATAGGACATACTTGCCACTTACTACTAGTAGTACCACCATGCTAGCATCCCCTATTTATACCTGTACAATTATCAACTCTTCATATTGTTAAACGCCCCTCGTATAATACAAACAAGATGTCATCAAGTAAAAATATTAAAGACAATATTAAAAAAATGATCATTCATGCCAACTATGCAATAATGGCTTAATATGTATACTCAAAAAAATAAATGTGCAATTTTTCCCAAGAGTTGGAAAGATGGTTTAGAAAATATTAATATGTTTTCACATATGGCCAGATAATTATGGACAGACTATGCTAACTGTAGGTGGATGGAGGTGAGCAAGTGACGTGGGATTCCCAGGGACACCGAGTGTAAGCATCACCATCTCCTGATGGTGGAGATGAGTTTTGCTGCATGCTGGAACAAGGGTACAATTACCAGGTTCAGGCTCTGATGAAATGTGTTGGCGGGGCCACAAGATGTGACGTTGTTATGCAGATCAAGACCCGAAATGGAGGTTTGTACGGCACGAGCGGAGGAGCAAAATATTGTGGAGATTGCATGATTACTACTTGGCTTTTGTTCACTTTTGTGAGTAGTTTTAATCTTAATAAATTGCGAAGTTATTTTATCTACTACACTATGAGAGTCCCTGTTGTTTCTACTTACTTTTATTGATATCCTTGAGATGCTTCATTTGGAGGAACCCTGTTATTCAAGATATATATCCCAAGCGTGGATTTCTTTGAAGCTTGCATGACCATACCCTAACCGGTGGTCTTATCATCTTATAAGGGTATATTCACATGCATAGTGGTGGATTGGTGGAAGCGTCTTGTTCATTTTGCTTTGATTCACACTAACTCATTCCATCTTTTCCCGTGAGAATGGCACTGGATTTGCACTTTATATGGTGGACATTCTATGGGAATTTTCTGTTTGCGCGATATCTGTTTGTATATCAGTTTGCACAGATTTTCACTATTTATTATTTGTAAGCTCTGCACTTTTATTACAGTATTTTTTAGAGTTTGTATCATTACTCTTGGTGCTAGCTGCTAATTTTTATTATTGCACCTGAGCGCAGAATTTACACTTATATAATTCCCATGTTCACCCTACTCAAGGTGCAGAGAAAAAGCAAGTGGATATGGGAGCAGAGAAGGACTGGCAGAGTCGAAGCAGCAGGAGACAATAAGAAATCCAGGAAACATGCCAAAGAACAGGGCAACAGGGCAACAGGGCAGGGCAGAGAGAGAGAGAGAGAGAGGGGGGGGGGAGGAGAGAGAGAGAGAGAGAGAGAGAGAGATGAGCTTGGTAATCAAGAAGAGACAACAGGCAGAAGATAGGCGCATGGGTGTCATAGAGGATGCAAAGAACCAAACACACAGGACTCTCAAGAGAGAGAGAAGAGTCACAGGAGGTCTGGAACTAAAAACGTGGAAAATGGGCCTAGGGCTAAGTTTATCCTATTGGTCAGGCAATGGGAGCTGATCTGAGCATGACTTACATAATAAGGAAGTTTGGGAAGCTGGGCAGGTAGGAAGTGACCATAGAGTAAGTTGCACATTGCAGGGGAATTTTCGCCAGAGTTTACTGAATGAGGTGAAGCTCTGTTGACTTCCATCATCCAGTCACATGCAAGCAAAAATACAATTTTATTCATTTCCCTTGCACATGATTGGATATTTTTTGAAAAGTGAAATTAACCCACATTCACTAACCTCTGGGGAAAATTCCCTTGTAAAGTGAACATCCTATTCACTATAAGTAAATCAGCCCCATATTCTGGATATAACTTCACTGTATATAATTGACACTTTTAGTTTTGGGCTGACAAAACCTTTTTTATTGCCAGATTTCCTACTCCATTATTTATTATCTTCTAAAAGTCTTCTAGGAAAATAATACCGCATGTAACATTTGTGTGTATGTTTGTTTAGAGTTCTATGCTCACTCATGTGGAATGAGAGCAGAGGGCCAGAACTACACACATTATTACACAGAACATAATTCTGAATTCTCTTTACTAGCTAACCCTTAGCGCTACACAGGGACTTGTTTAAATGCTATTTTTATGCATAAAACAGAAAAATAAATAACGCTATTTGCAAAGAACTATTTTTATTGGGGAATATTGAACATCCTTTAAAGCTTAAAATAAATACCCTGAAGGATCAGAACTCCAGTTTATGACTTACATCCTAGTTAAAAAAAAGGACAAACAACGAAATGAAAGAACCTGTAATACATAAACTATGCTAACTCCAAAACAAAGTTTACTTGCTAAACATTTACACTTCTTTTCTATTATTACAAAATAAAGTCTAAAAATGTGTCATGTAGCTATGAATAGGCAAACTGTTAATGCATGGTGCTGTAGTCATTTACAAGTTCCTGTTTATGGAGAAGGATGATGTAACAAAAAAAGGCTGATATAACAAATATTTTTCAAATGCATACCATTCCTACCATGGCTTATAGGGATGAGCAGAGTGGCTTGGGGAAATTATATTTAGCCTATGTTTGTACTGAATAGGACTTTGAAATCGTGCAACTTCACCTGGCCGCAGGGAGGGGGGGCACTCAATCATTCCCCCCTTTCCTGCCCTGCCAGGCCTGTGCTAGGTTCAAGGGTCTGGTAGGAATTTAGGGGAGACTCCACACTTTTTTACCACCATTTTTTTAGGGGTGGGGTTCCCCTTAAAAGTCCTACCAGGTCTAAAGGGCCTTGTATGGCTTTTAGGGGGGACCCTAACCTAATTGAAAAAAAAAAAATGTCAGGCCTGCAGCAGTTTCTATACATTGTAAAGATGTGCAACTTTGCAGGTAGTTTAAGAGGACCCCCAGCATGATATTTAAAGGAATAGCAGGAAGGGACATCATCCCACAGCAACACCAGAAGTGGTTAATACAGGAGAAGATGGTGGTGAGAGAGCCTAGAGCCAGATCCGTGCTATCCCTATGCTTATGATGTAACATGCATTTTTATCCTGGTGCAAGGGAGTGCACCGAAAAATGTGAGTGAGCATTGTGGAAATGGTTTTTACTAAATTTATTTATTTATTTATTATTTATTTATTTTTCGAGTTTATATAGCGCCAAAGGGTTTGCTCAGCGCTGTGTACAATAGGGGGGGACAATACATGAAACAGTACAGTAACATCAAACAGCACACAAGGGGTAAGAGGGTAAATAAAAGGTTTTAAAGATTTCACACTATGGTAGTCTCTCCCCCCATCTTTCCCTACATGTTGTGTGAGACTTTTAAAAGGAAATTATGCAGCTGAACCAAAAAAAAAGAAGGCTGATGGTGGTTATCCATGATACTAAGCGCTGTAGGACTCACCTGTAGTAGGTAGTCATAAAAATCTGGTGAGTGTTCTGTGTTTATGGTTAACCTCCCTGGCGGTATTCCTGAGTGTAGCTCGGGGTAAAGTTTCAGTACCAAAAGCGGTAACCCCGAGCTACACTCGGGCTTACCATGCGGCGTTGCTCCGGCATCTGTTCTTCATTTACCTTGTCCTGCGCTCCCGCAATGTCCCTCCTGCAGTGTCCCCGGCAATGTAATCCAGTGGATGCCGGCATCTGTCATCTGGGTTCCGTTCCCTGCGAGCGTCGGGACGTACAGGGAGACGGAACGGCAGGAAATTTGAAAATGACAAAAAGTGACATTCACTAAGATCACTAAAATCAAATAGTAAAACATTTCTGTATCAAACCATTTCATATACATTTTGTCCCGAGTGCTTTGTCCTGTGCCCTGCCTACATTTTTACTGTTCTTTCTGCCTGGAAACTGAGAAACGTTCATGGTGTCCAAAAAGCGTCCCTTTAGGTCAAAATCGGTTTTAGACCAGCTAGAGAACAGCGATAGTAAATTAGAACCATTTGCAGAATTGAATGATAATGATTCGTGGGGAAATTCGTCATCAGACACTGAAAACGATTTTGCGACTTTGCTCAGTGATGTGCGAACTTGGCGCTATATTTCAAATTTCAGTGTTTTTGGTTTGCTTATATTATTGAATTAAATCTATTATTATATTATTATTTTTTTTATGATTATTTATTAAATTATAATTTATGATTTCGTGTTTCAAATTTTATGATACCCGGGATGTTTACTAGACTCTTGTTCAGACAGATTTCAGTGAGTTATTCCTAAAATTTACAGGCCTATAATAAAAAAAATACATATTTCCATGCAAAAAAAACGTACCGCTTTGAGCACAGAAATATGGACATAATCAGACCGCCAGGGAGGTTAAAGATTTCGCAAAACATTATGGCACTGATTGTTGGAAATGGAGCACTTTTTTGATCACGGACACTTTAATAAGTTTGAAGGCATTGTACATTATACTGTGAATAACTGAAAGCACTTGGACACTTTATATGCACAGAGAGACATTATTGAAGCACAAAGGACACTTTATTGAATCATGTTGAATTTTTATTTGAGGATATGAGCATTGTAGCGAATATGCTTGTTTATTGCACATGTTTAAACAAGAACCAATAGTGCTGTTTAAAATATAAGGTACAGAATTAAAATACTTGTTTTTTCTGTGCATTTACCTACATTTATTTAAGTTGGTGACAGGGTTTCTTAAATTTTTATTTTTACATTTTTATAACTTTAGGCTTTTTGCAACAAAATACAAAAGGGTTTTATTTTCCTGCAAATCTATTGCACTTTGCAAGTTTTAAGTGGGCTTACATAACACAAACATGTGGACCGTTTAACATATCAAGTTCAAATAAAAATGACACGCTGATCATTCACTTCTAAAGCCGCCTTGTGTTCTGTTAATAGAACGCTCTATCCTTGTGGTTTTCAAAATATTATAAGTATATATTCCAGATTAAACTTTCTATTTTCCTCCAGGTAGCGTTCCCTTTCACTTCTCTCAATAGCTTAGTTTCAGCCTGAAGAATCAACTTGATCAGCAAAATCAAAGATGATTATACAGTTCAGAAGTCATTTAAGATTTCTGTGGCTCAATTAAGCATGTACAGCATGCCACAGCCACTGAGGCTCTGTTTATCCAGTGAAAGTGCCCTGTAATTTATTTAAAATAATCCATCTTTAACAAATAAAGAGGCTATTGAGAGCTCCCTGCTGTAGGCAGCCATTGAGAAGCAGATTTGTGATAGTCTGTTTTTCTGGCTTAAGTTAAATGGCTGACAAACTTGATTCAGATAGTCAAAAAGTCAGGTTTTATTTGCACTGTTTGTTTTCCCTTAAGACCAGTAATCAGTTACAACTGTTTAACAAATTGGGCATTAGAGGAAATAAATGCACTTGAATCAGCAGAGATAATGTGATGTTCTATGACTTCTTTTGAGCACCAATTTCATAAAACAATGAGTTGGTGTATTAAAAGACAGGAGCTCTCTCTATATGTCAGCTAAAAAGACAGCAGCCTTCATATATGAAAGTATACACTAGATTTTTGTTGAAGAGGACTCTTGCAGAGATACTCATATAAACTAGTTCACAATAACTCATTCGCAGGGGCGGACTGACCATTTGGAAACTCAGGCACTACCCAAGGGCCCGGGTCAGTAGGGGGCCCCATGAGATGCCCCTGGTACCTTGTTCATAGGCTTTTTTGAGTTTGGGCAAGGACACAGGGGTCCCATGATTCACTATTACCCGGGGGCCCCATGAGTTGTCAGTCCGCCCCTGCTCATTCGTTAATTTTTAGTACTTATTTCCCAACATGCAACCAGTCCAAGTACTGCTGATAGAGTATTTAATCACAACAGGGAAAGGATTCCCTTTACTTCAATCTAAATCAGAAGCCTACAGCTGGTCATACAAGGGCAATTTCGTTGAGCTATTGTACTTGTGATCTGATTTTTTTGAGATGACAAAACAGTTGAAAACATAAAAAGGCTGTTTCAAACATCCTCTAGGACAGTGATGGCGAACCTTTTTGAGCTCGAGTGCCCAAAACTGCAACACAAAACCAACTTTTTTATTTCAAAGTGCCAACACTGTGATTGGCCTTTTACCTTATCACGTGATCAGTTGTATCCGTAGGACACAGCGATCACTGGCAGCGCAGGGTGTGTGCCACTGGGTTCGCGTTCTGGGACGCCCTCCCAGAACTAGACAACCACGCTGTAGCCATCTTTTGGCTATAGCATGGTTGGCAAGCAGTTAATCTCACCTCTGGCACTGTCGGTGTGGCTTCCAACCCAGCAGCTCATTCCCATCCAAGCTGAACATGTTGCCCCTGGCCCCGGAGCAGTGTGGGAGCCTCTTCCTGTCTTCCATGCCCATCCCTGGCTACATCACCCCTGGTGCCAGATCCGCATAGGAGCCATTTCCTCTCGTCCACACCCACCCTGGCCCCAGAGACATGTGGGAGATGTGGTTTGATGGGGGTCCAGTGTGGACGAGATCTGGATGGCCGGTCAGTGTGCGTGGTCCGTGTGCGCTCATCTTCCTCTTCTTCCTGGCGTGCCCACTGAGATGGCTCTGCGTGCCAGCTCTGGCACGCATGCCATAGGTTCGCCATCACTGCTCTAGGAGATTGCATCTAAATTGCTGTGATTTGCCCTGATATAAAACATAAATCAATTAAATTACTTTAGTTTTTTCTGGTTTCAAACATTTTTTTCAGGAATCTGTATTGAAGCTTTACATTTTTTGCCAGGTCATTTGATCGAATTCAGGTAGTCAATCAAACTCTCAGGTGGTAGGTTACTTGGTTTTGAGTAACCACTTTTAATCATATGCTTGATCTCCTTCAATCAAAAGTCATTAAAATTGCCTAACAATTATCACATGTACGGCCAGCCTAACTCCAGACAAAATTTTTTTCAGCGTTATTATTGTACCACTCTCCAGCCCTTCACAAACACACTGCCTTTAGCTACAGACAAATATTTAAAGTTTTGACTCATCAGTCCAGAGAACCTGCTGCCATTTTTCTGCTGACCCCAGGTCCTAGGTTCTTGTGCATAGGACATGGAAACAAGGCTAAGCGACTCAGCTATGCATGAAAACATAGGTATTAGGGTGCAGAAAAATGGCAGCAGGTGCTCTGGACTGATGAGTCAAAATCTGAAATATTTTTCTGATGCAAAAGTTTAGGAACCCTGCAGGCAACAGTGAAGCATGATACAGGTTTCTTGCAAGTTTGGGGCTGCATTTCTGTAAATGGAATTGGCGATTTGGTCAGGATGAATGGTGTCCTCAAAGCTGAGAGATACAGGCAGATAATTATCCACCTTGCCATTCCATCAAAGAGGCATGTGATTGGACCCAAATTTATTCTGCAGCTGGACAATGACTGCAAACATACAGCCAATGTCATTAAGAACTATCTTCTAAACTAAAGAAGAACAAGGAGTCCTGGAAGTGATGGTTTGGCTCTTATAGAGCCCTGATCTCAACATCATCGATTCTGTCTGGGATTACATGAAGAGAATGATTTGAGGCAGCCTACATCTACAGAAGATCTGTAGTTATTTCTCTAAGATGTTTGGAACAACCAACCTACCGAGTTCCTTCAAAAACTGCTTGCAAGTGTAACTAAAAGAACTGAAGAATTGATATTGTTTTGAAGGCAAAGAGTGGTCACACCAAATGTTGATCTGATTCGGTTTTCTCTTCTATTCATGTACTTTCCATTTTAATTGATAAAAAATAAACTATGCATACTTCTATTTCTGATAGCATTCTTAATTTACAGCATTGTTTCACACCTACCTAAGACTTTTGCACAGTACTGTATATATATATATATATATATATATATATATATATATGAGAATGGAGAGGAGAGTGTTAAGCAATTGTGATGATTTGCTCTAAATGGGCAAATTACATGACTGCTTTAAAAATGCACAATACTGTAAATGATCAGGCTTCAGCAGTACAACACCTGTATATGTACTGTAGACACCTGGCAGTACATATCTTTATTTTGATCCCTCCATCACTGCTGGTGCCTCATGTTTTGGCAACTTTAATACCAATTTAGACCATTCCTGTTGTTAATGGCTGACTTGCTTCCGCTTGCATGGTCTTGTTGACCCCAATAAGTTTATGGGTGGTCTTTTTGGTCAATATACAGAGTAGAAACTAACACATTAGAGTATCCTGTGATTTCAAACATTTTCTAAAAATGCCATTTCCCTGGCTTTCATGTTGACTCCCTTATGTAAATATGTTCTGACTCCCTAAACTGGTACAATGCAGAAAGTGAAGTCATACTGAATCCTGGTCTTCTAGTCTCCTTAATTTTACAAAGTGAAGGCATTAAATAACAAATTTTCGTAAATCAACTCAAGTAATTGAATCAGCAAGTGAATACCTCCTAATCTGTTTACTTATTCTAAGTCAATGGGGTTGATTTACTAAAGGCAGGTAGGCTGTTCACTTTGCAAAGGGAATTTCCCTTAGCTTAGTGAATGAGGTAAAACGCTGCTCATTTCCATCATCCAATCATGTGCAGACAAAAATAATAATAAAAAAAAATCTTCCTTGCATTTGATTGGGTAAAATTTCTCTTGGAAAGTAAACAACCTATTTGCCTTTAGTAAATGCCAATGACTCAGCATTGAGGTGAAAATGTAGCTATTACAACCAGACAATTTTCCTTTTCAGAAGCAAAGGTGAGCAATAGCTGTCTTCATGTTATTTTTTTTTTTCAGAATATGTTTTCTTTAAATTAATCTCCATATTTTAGCATGCCTATTGATTTATTCTACACTT